CTCAATCTTTGGTATTGGGTGGATATTACAGACATTTGGTGAGAAAGTAACTATAGATGGACATGCAGACAGCTGTAAACTTAATGTTATTAAAAGGTCAAGAGTTTGTAATAATTGCTCAACAAGACACAATCCAAGTAGCAGTTATACAATTTAAATTCTTGCAAATTCTTATATAATTCTTGTACAATTATACAATTTTCTATTCTGGAAGAATGAAGGTATATGTGAATTACCTAATTCAGAAGTGAGATTGATCATACAATAAAGGACTTAGAAGTTCAACTGCTTTATTATTGTTATTTTTTGTTTTGGCAAAAAATCACATAATATGACATCTACCCCATTAGCAAATTTGTAAGTGCACAGTACAGTACTGTTAACTCTATGCACATTGGTATGCAACAGATCTCTAGAACTTCGTCTTGCATGACTAAAACTCTATACCCACTGAGCAGCAGCTCTTCATTTCCCTCTCCCCCAGCCCCCAGCAACCAGCATTCCACTTTCCACTTCTATGAATTTGACTACTTTAGAAATCTCATGTAAGTGGAATCATGCAGTATTTGTCTTTCTGTAACTGGCTAATCTCACTCAACATCATGTCCTCTGGGTTTATCTGGGTTGTAGCTTATACCAGACTTCCTTCTATTTTAAGGCCGAATAATATTCTATTTTATGTATATACCACAGTTTCTTTATCCATTCATCCACTGATGGATGTTTAGGATGTTTCTGTCTCTTGACTCATATGAATAATGCTGCAATGAAAATGGGAGCGCAAATATCTCTTCCAGATCCTGTTTTCAATTCTTTTGAATAAATACCCAGAAGTGGGATTGTTGGATCATTTGGGAACTATATTTACAATTTTTGAGGAAAACCCACACTGTTTTCCATAGTGACTACACTATTTTATATTCCTACCAAGAGCGCACAAAGGCTGCAATTTCTCCATTTCCTTGCCAACACTTCTTATCTTTTGTTTGTTTGTTGATAATGGCCATACTACAGGTGTGAGGTGATATAGTGGTTTTGATTTTCATTTCCCTGATGATTAGTGATGTAAAACATTTTTTTCATATGCCTATTGGCCATTTGTTTGTCTTCTTTGCCCATTTCTTTTTCTTTGCCCATTTTTTTAAATTGGGTTATTTTGTTTTTTGCTATTGATTTGTATGAATTCCTTATATATTCTGAATACTAATCCTTCATGATATATATGATTTGCAGATATTATCTCCCAGTCAGAAGGTTGCCTTTCACTCTCTTGATTGTTTCCTTTCTTTTTTAGCTGACATAGTCCCACCTGCCCATTTTTGCTTTTATTTCCTGTGCTTTTGGTGTCATATCCAAGAAATCATTGCCAGGACTACTGTTACAAAGTTTCTTACCTGTTTTCTTCTAGAAGTTTTACAGTTTAGGGTCTTACATTTAAGTCTTTAATTCATTTTATGTTGATTTTTGGGTATGGTGTAAGATAAGGGTCCAATTTCATTCTTTTGTATGCGTATATCTAGTTTCTCTGACACCATTTGCTGGAGAGACTATGTTTTCCCCAATGAGTAGTCTTGGCACCCTTGTTGAAGATCATTTGACCATATATACATGAGTTTATTTTGGGGCTGTCTCTTCTCCTCTCTTGGTCTATATGTCTGTCGTATGCCAATATCATATTGTTTTGAATACTGTAGCTTTGTAATATGTTTTGAAGTCAGCAAGTGGGAGCCAGCTTCATTTTTTTTTTTTTTTCCAAGAATGTTTTGGCTATTTCTGGTATGCGGTTTTATGTGAATTTCAGTATTCTTTTTTCTTTCTGCAAGAAATGCCACTGAGATTTTGATCGAAATTATGCTAAATCTGTGGATTGCTTTGGGTAATATGGATATTTTAACAATATTAACTCTTCCAGTCATGAACACAGCTCATCATTCCATTGGTTTGTGTCATCTTTAATTTCTTTCATCAATGTTTTGTAGTTTTCAGTGTACAAGTCCTTTGCCTCTTTGGTTAAGTTTATTGCCAAGTATTTTATCCTTTCTTGATGCTATTATGAATGGGATTGTTTTCTTAATTTCCTTTTGAAATTTTTTGTTGCTGATGTATAGAAAAGCAACTGATTTTTTGTGTTAATTTTGTATTAACTTTGCTGAATTTGTTTATTAGTTCTAACAGTTTTATGTGTGTGTGGAATGTTTACAGTTTTATACGTGTAAGATTGTGTCATCTGCCTACAGAGGTAGAAGTTTAACTTCTGAATTATATTTAGTTTTAGAGTAATTTTTATTAGGGCAGTGATAACAGTAACTGGCCTCTGTATATTTTTTATCTTTTTTCTCCTACATATGACTAAGTTTTGTATTCAAAGACATATTCAAACACTTTAGACCACAGTCTCCCTACCTATGGAAGAGGTATCTAAGGGTTAAAAAGAAGATTCAGGGCATAATAATATTTGATTCCTACAAAGCAACTTTATTAAGTATATGTTAGTAAGATGGCCATTTAACAAGAGAAAAGTGAAGCTGAGACTTTTGAGACTTACTTGTATGACATAATTAGTAAGTGGTAATGCCATGATTAAAACTTGTGTTTTCTCACCATGGACTTTGCTGAGTAAATGAACCACCTATGCATTTTAACTTCATAGTGCCACTTTTTTCTTGCTGATTTTCCTTTAGTTCTTTTAATAATAAACTTTGCTTTGTATATCTGAGCATTAATAACCTATGTCTGGGGAAAGTGTTGAAATATCTTTTGTAGTAGGGATCAGGTAGCCTGGGACAACCACACTTACTGAGGCAAATGCACAAATGATTATAAGCATTATAAGCAAATGTTATATAATAAATTTACTTAATATTTGAATTATATGCTGATTCTGTTTATTTTTCATTTTATAGAGTTTTCCATTTTATCTTTATCAGAACAGTATTGTTTGTGTACATCTGTGGATAAAATATATTTAATTGTTTTAATTTCACTTTAGTAAATACAGTACCAACATTCTATGTGGCTTAATGTACTTTTCAATCATTAAATAATTTATTTTTAGCTATGAATTACCGTATTTTTCATTGAAACACACTCAACTCCCAAATGATTCTATAGCATCTGAACTGATCCTCTTAGAAGCACACTGTTTGCATTAATAAAATCTTTTTTTTTTTTAAAGATTTTAGTTATTTATTTGACAGAGAGAGACACAGTGAGAGAGGGAACACAAGTGGGGGGGTGAGGAGAGGGAGAAGCAGGCCTCCTGCCGAGCAGGGAGCCCGATGTGGAGCTCGATCCCAGGACCCCGGGATCATGACCTGAGCTGAAGGCAGACGCTTAACGACTGAGCCACCCAGGCGCCCCTGTGTTAATAAAATCTTAATAAATTTTCATTTTTCTAAGGGTTCTTATAATCTTACATTTATCAAGAACGTTTAGATGATTCATGGAAAATGCTGAATTATGTATTTTTGACCTTGAGCATTTTCAATTTTTTCTAAAGTTGCTTTTATCTGCCTATTAATCAAAATAAACACTGCTTACTTCTACTTGAAATGTATTTTGTTGTGCAAACTTAATATCTGTGTTTTCAAATAAATATTTATATCATATCAGACTTTTTACAGCTCCATTTTTTTTTAAGATTTTATTTATTTATTTGACAGAGAGAGACACACAGCAAGAGAGGAAACACAAGTAGGGGGAGTGGGAGAGGGAGAAGCAGGCTTCCCATGGAGCAGGGAGCCCGATGCGGGGCTCGATCCCAGGGCTCTGGGATCATAACCTGAGCCGAAGGCAGACACTTAACGTGCCACCCAGGCACCCTCCATTTTGTTTTCAAAGTCATCATCTTTCTTTCTTCATTTAACTTAAGATATGCAAAACCATTTATTATTTATGGAGGATTTGATGAGACGAGAGTTCACCTGCTGGTAGCTATGACTCTATAATATGATAATATTGCAGTCTGATTTCAGTCTCCTTCAGAGGGAAAGTACTGTTTTGTCTTTTTTTTTTTTAATTACTGAATGAAAGTTATAAAGATGACGGGCTGAAGTGGAAGAATTATTCTTGAATTCAGGATACTTAAAGCAGCCTAGGTTCATGTGTCACATACTATGTCTTACAAATCAACAGGAAAACCCATTATAGAATGGTCCTGACCACTAACCTTGGCTAAACCAATGAGCTAATTACACTCTGTGTCTTTGTTGAAATGGCCCTAGAGATATTAATCACACAGATCTTGAGGCTGTGCAACTGATAATTTGCTATTTTAGATGACCGATAATTATTTCTAAGAAATTAGACAGCCTTAGTAAGAGGAAAACATAATTGCTTTTCCAGTAATTTCTACTTATGATCAACGTAAATGATAGAGTAAATAAATGTCCACATCTTGTTGGAAAATTTTAATCTTCCTTTATGTTTTTAACCTTTCAATTTTTTTCAGCTTATTTTGAGAAAAATTTTCATTGTATAGGACATTTTGGTACCACCTTCACTGATTGTATTCTAATTGTTAAGATTTCTGTTTTTCGACTTTGATGTGATATTTGCTATGAAACTTAGCCTCACTTTACACTGAAAAATATTATTTATATTTCATGTTATCCCCTAGCCACATCAACCAGATATCCACTGACCTGAATATGAGTATAGGTCACCTACTAACTCTTTGGGAATGAATGAGAGAAGTCTCCATGAGGAAGAACTTTATGAATGCCAGATTATTTATCTCATAGTCTTGTTTTATGGTTAGCCCTAATGATACCACTAAGTATGTTAAAATCGTGGTAATGGAGACATAAGGTGAATTTACTTGGAAAGGAAAAGTCTTATAGAACACAAATATATATTTTCATCTAACACCAAAAGACTCAGGGCTTTATTTATGATGTTTTTCAGAAAAATTAAAGAATGATCTTATTTTTTAAGGAAATATGGATAACTCATCTCTTTAAAATATCAAATATATGTATCTTTTTTTTTTTTTCCTTTAGCATGTGGAGAAACCCTACAAGAATCCAATGGCAACCTTTCATCTCCAGGATTTCCAAATGGCTACCCTTCTTATACACACTGCATCTGGAGAGTTTCAGTGACCCCAGGGGAGAAGGTAGTTTATATTATCGAGAGTTCTCATTTAGTGTCATATAAATACAGAGTTTCATCTTCTTTTAAATATAATTTACTTTATTTTTTATTCTTATTTGATTCTTCAAATACAAGACTAAAAATCTCAGAAAATTTATAATAAAAATTGCTCAAACTCTGGGAATTTTTTGAAAAATGTAATTTAAAAAGAAATAGTAAATGCTCTAAAAGGGTTGAAATAATGCAGATTATGTTCTCAAGCACAATGAAATTAAGTTAAAAATAAGTATCACATAGATAACTAGAAAATCCCACACATTTCAGTTAAGAAATATACATAAAATATCCAGTTTAGCTAAGAAGCAAGTACAGATTTAGATAGAAATTATTTTCAGCTATAATATAACAAAAATAATGAATATCACGCCTGTAGGATGCAATGAGAGCAGTACTTAGAAGGAAATTCACAACTTAAATGCTCACATTAGCAAATAAAAAATGCCCTAAACTAACGAGTAAGATATTCTTATTCAGTGGCTATTAAAGTTACAGTAAAATAAATGGAAAGGTACATAATGGAGGACATAATAAATAAAAGATAAACTAAGGAGATCAAAATAACATGGTGCAAAGTATGAACAAAGTCGTACTTTGAAAAAACTTAGAAATATAGGAAAATGGTTGTAAATAGATTAAGAAAGTAAAAGAATAACAGGAAAAGCACAATTATCTAATCACCAGAATGAAAAGGTTATGATGCTCTAGACACAAAAATGAGATTAAAAGAATATTGTCAACATTATGCCAGTAACTTAAAAAATGTAGATGAAATGGGAAAATTCCTATAAAATATTAGAGTTCTTACTCAAGAAAAAGAAAAAAAAACTCGATTACTCCTATAACCACTAAGGAAAATGAACTACTGTTTAATTGGATTATTAGATAATTTTCAGCAATGAAAATCCAAGTTCAGATGGCTTAATTTGTGAGTTCTAGCTGACATTCAAATAAGAAATAAGCATAATCTTATATAAACTCTTCCAGGGAATAAAAAGGAAGATCCACTCTCCTATTTATATGGCTAGCAAAACCTTGATAGAAATCCTGACAAGGACAGTATAAAAAAGGAAAAGTATAATCCAAGCTAACAGTTGAATATGGATGTAAAATCCCCAAACCAAATCAAAGGTAGATGCATGTACATGCACGTGTGTAGACACAAACACCATTAGAAGTATATCTCAATTAAATCAAGAAAAAATATCTATTACTGATTTAATAACAACAAACCCTGAACAAACTGGGAATAGGTACCTTCTTAATCTTAGAAAGCAAATCGACAAAAATTATTACAAATATCATTCTTGGGAAAATTCTGAAACATTTCCTTCTACCATACCAGTTTTTTTTTTTTTTTGGTGGAAGTCATGGCACATTAAGGCAAGAAAATGGAATTAAACATAATAAGGATTGAAAAGGAAGAAAATTCCCTTTAGCATATTTAGTTTGTTGGTTCAAGATTTTAAAATTATTAAGGAAGGAAATGAATGAATCTGTTAACTTTTGGATTCTGTCTTGAACGCTAACCTTAAAAGTCTTTCTGAAAGACCAAGACTGTATTGATACTAATCTTTTTTTTCTTGATACTTTTAAATAGTTTTTGTTCTTTGCTTATGACTAATTCATCTGGAATGACTCAAATATACTTAGAATTTTTGTGAGAATGCAATTGAGGTTAAAGAAAGTTTAATATTCCTGATAATTGAATGTTGTTAAGAGAATCATGGGTGTGGAGCTGTCCAGTGTGTTACAATATTCCACATGAAAACTGAATGAAACATTTGTGTAACGTGAATAGTTTTGAAACATAAAAAGTTTCAATTGACTTGGAATACATGAATGTGTACGTAATTCTTTATACAGTCATTTTTAATTTAAGAATTAAAAGTCTTTGTATGGTAGTTATAGGTGTTGATCAATTTCTGTGTGGATTTTTGAATAAGCTTATGAGAATATTTTATGAAAATAATTCTTAAAAAGGTATGGAAGAGCAAAATATAAAAGCTGATAAAAACTATATGTGATTTCGGGGAAATTAAAATTATAGAATATGAAGAGTTTTGAACAAGATTAGTAAAATCCACAAAGAGCAAGATAATGCAGGAAAAAATTGTTCCTCCTATCCAATTGCAGTACCCACACCATCAGTATTCAAAGTTAATTCACTTTTCTTATATGTTTAATTACCAATAAAACTGTATTTTCCAAGATGTTACAAATAGGAAGAAATCAACACATCTATCATCTTTTAAAATTATTTTTCTTAATATTATGTATGATGATGAGCAAATAAATTGAATTAAGTGGTCAATGAACATTAACTCATTTTTCTTGAGTTGTGTCTTTATTAGTTTCTTTTTGTTTTAAATTTGGGTTTATTCTGCTGTTCTTTTTTACTTCTTTAGTTGGCAGTTTAACTCATTAATTCTAATACAAAATTTAAGGCTATAAATTTTCTTCTAAAAACTACTTTATCTGAATTTCACCAGCTTGACATACAGTATTTTTGCTATTTTTCAATTTTCATTGTCTTCTTTGTCTCTTATTATTTCTTCTCAACCAACATATTTTTGGTAACATATATTTTCTTATTTGAAAACATACATTTTTTTTCCCAATCATCCTTTTCTTGTTAATTTCTCCTTTAGTCACTTCTGGTGAGAGACTGTACCCTGTAAGATGTCAGTCTTTGAAATATTTTGAGGCTGGCAGTATGACCTTGGAAGTGACCAGTCTTCATAAAGAATAATCTTTGCTTTAAAGTTGGGACACCTGGGTGGCTCAGTCAGTTAAATGTCCGACTCTTGATTTCGGCTCAGGTCATGATCTCAGGGTCTTGAGATCGAGCTCCACGTCCTGCTCCATGTGCTGGGCGAGGAACCTGCTTAGGATTCTCTCTTCCCGTCTCCCTCTGCCCCTGCCTCCACTATCTCTCTAAATAAACAAATAAAATCTTAAAAAGGAAAACAAAATGTGTTTTGTGCAGTAGCTGGGTGCAAAGTTCTCTATGCATTAGTCTTTTAAATTGTGAAGTGTATATATTCTCTAATTATTGTTTTTTACTTTATCAAATAGAAAGGTATGTTAATATTTGTCACTATTTGGTGGATTTATTAGTTTGTCTTTATTTTAAAAATAAATATTGTATATATTTATATTTAAATATATTTAAAATATTTTTGTTCTATATTATTATATATATATTATGTTTAGAATATAACATCTTTCTGATAATTAAACTATTATTATATACTGTATTTCTTTATCTCTAGTCATGATTTAGGTACTTTATTTTTTCTGATATTAATAAGGCTACACATTCTTTTTATTAATATATTTGCCTGGTTATATCTTCATCTTGCTTTAGACATTTAGTTGTTCTGTGGTCTTGTGTCCCAGGTGTGTCCCTTTTAGACAGCAAATAGTTTGGTTTTATTTTTTATTTAATTCGTGGTGGTTAGTTTTTCTTTAGTGTTTATTCCAGTTACATTTTTTTTGTGATTTCTAATGTATTATTATTTCTTGTTTGCATTCTATATGTCCCACTTTGTTTCTTTTGTTCTACTTTTTTGCCTTTTTATGTATTGAATTTATGGTTTCATTTTCCCTCATTTCACTTATTTTCTATTTATTGGTTTGAAAGTTTTAAATGTATATTCTATTATTTGGTACCCCCTTTTCTACCAGCCTTCTTAATGGAGTCATATTTAAGTGGTGTCCTTATCCTTCTCCCAAACCATAAAAAGATTCCAAAAAAAAGATTACAATACATGTTATCTTCATTTTATATGCTGTTGTTTAGTATTTTTCTTCAAGTTTGTTTCATCCTGACACAAATGAGATATTATTATTGTTTTTTGCACTTAACATTTGTTAAGCTATACATAGATATTTACCAAATTTTTTTTTATTGTGGTAAAAAACATGTACAATTTACTGTCTTAACCATTTTTAAGTGTACATTTCAATAGTGTTAAGTACATTCACACTGTTATGGAACAGATCTCCAGAACTTTTCCATTTTGCAAAACTGAAACTCCATACACATTCATGTCTGTTTTCCCTACCCCTTGGCCCTGGGAACCACCATTGTACTTTCTGTTTCTATGAATTTGATTACTTTCGATACCTCACATAAGTGGAAGCATACAGCATTTGTTATCTTGTGACTGGTTTATTTCATTTAGCGTAATGGTCTCAAGGTTTAACCATGTTTTAGCATGTGACAGGATTTTCTTCTTTTTAAGGCTGAATGATATTCCATTGTATGTATAGACCACATTTGTTTATCCATTCATCCTTTGATAGACATTTGAGTTGCTTCCACCTTCTGGCTGTTGTGAATAGTGCTACTACAAACACGAGCAGGCAAATATCTCTTCAAGACAGTCCTTTGAATTCCTGTGGATGCATACTCTGAAGAAGTGGGATTGCTGGATACTTTGGTAGTTCTGTTTTTAATTTTTTGAAGAACTTCCATATTGCTTTCCATAGTGGTTGCATTATTTTACAATCCCACCAGCAATGTTGAAGGGTTCCAAATTCCCCACATCTTCACCAATATGTAGTATTTTGGTGTTTTTTGTTGTTGTTGTTGTTGTTTTTGTTTTTTTGATAGTTGCCATCCTAATGGGTGAGAGGTGATATCTCATTGTGGATTTGATTTGCATTCCTCTGATGATTAGTGATGTTGATAGGAGTCTTGGCATTTGTATATCATCTTTGAAGAAATGTATCTTTAAGTGTCTTGCCCATTTTTTAGTTGGATTATTTTATTTTTTCTTGTGGAGCTATAGGAGTTCTTTACATATTATGGCTATTAACCTCTCATGAGATATATGATTTGCAAATATTTTCTTCTTTTTTGTAGTTGCCTTTTTACTCTGCTGATTGTTTGCTTTGCAAAAGCTTTTTAGTTTGATGTAGTACCACATAACTATTTTTGCTTTTTTTTGCCTGTGC